AATTTCATCTTCAACAGATATTTCTTTGACAATTTGTTCTATAAGCAATAATTCAAAAAAAATTATAATTGTAAAATTTGCAGGAATTATTGTTATATTTTAATTTAGTGATATATTATTTTTAGAGTTATTAATTAGTTCTAAATCAGTTCCAACAATTTTAAAAATTGCTAATTCTAGAAAAGTTAAATTGCTTAACTATAATAAATAACTTTTTTTAAAATAAGTTTATTAATAATTTGTGAAATAAAAATTATTTTCAAAATTAACAATTTTTTCGGAACTGTTTCAGTTCTGGAATGATTTCAAACTCATTTAAATTCTTTATTTTAAAAGATTTTAATTTTTCAAGAAATTATATTACTTAAGTAAATTAATTATATTAAACTATTATAATAAGCAAGTTTAATTAGTAACTTGTAAGAAAAATTATCTTTAAAACTAATAATTTTTATGAAACTATTAGAATTATTTGGAACTAATTAAAATTCTAGTTATTTGTATCAAATATTATTAGCTTTTATAATAATATTATAGTCTTATTATATTAATTAATATCTATAAAAGATTTAGTTTTTGAATATAAATCTAATAAAGTACTAAATCATTAGTATTTACAAAACTTTTAGTTTTTAATAAAGTACTAATTGTTATTGAATTTTCTTTATAATTCCAATATTTTTTAAGTTTAAAATTAATTAAATTTGATATTATATATTTTCTAAATTAAGATAATTTTAATAAAAGAATAATAGTTAATTTTATATTACTTATTGTAAAATATATAAAAAATAACAATACTTCATTAAAATAATATTATACACGTAATAAAATTTTTTAACATTAAATAAATATTATTTTTTAAGTTTCAATATCTAAATCAAATTTTGTTTTAGTAGTACTTTAATATTTGTATACTATTCTTAATAAATTAATTATATTTCATGTTATACAATATTAGTAAGTATATATACTGAACAACATTAATGTATAAATTCAGTATTTCTAGCTTTAAGTTTTCAAGCTGCAACTATCATGAATGTTGCGTTATTATTGTAATTTCTAATAAATTTTCAGTAATTTTAGCCTTTTCTAATACTTGTATAATAATTTGTTGAATACATATAACAGTATATTATTCAGAAAAGTGATGTAAATCGAGCAAAAAGGTGCTGTAGCTTCAACAAAGTAAACTGTCATACCAAGATATAATTGTATAGTAATTAAATTTGATAATTTTTTAGATTTTTCAAGTTCTTTTAATATTTTATCATGCATATTATCATAACGATCCATTATTTTATTTTTTATAGTTCAACAACAAGATACTTGATAATGTTCATTGAATATATTTAACATGATAGCAAAAAAAATCATCTATAATTGCAAAGTGAAGCTGATAACAAATAATGAAATCTACAATTGTTGTTGGATCATTTATCTAGCTTGCTTTTATATCTATCTGTAGTATTTTTGCAGATTATTGATTTTATCATCATGCTTTTATTTAATGTTTGGCGAGTATACCTGCAGTATTTGAAGGTTTGTAATGAGCTTTGCAAATTGAGCAAACAAATCTTGTCACTTCATTTTTATCATTAAATTCTTTGAAAAAAATTCCCATATCAAAGAAGTTTCACGTGAAGCTATTGAAGCTGGACCATCGCTTCATATTTGCTTGTTGTTTCTTCTATATTATCCTCAGTAGGTTTATTATCTAACATTTAAAGTAGATATTTTACATTTATGAGACATTTCAATAAATAAAATTATATAAAAAAATTGCATTATTTTAAATCAATTAAAATACGCATTGATAGATAAATTTGTTAATAATTACAAAAGTCGTATTGCACTAATTCATTGCATAATACTCACTAACGAATTATATGATTTGTCAATATATATTTTCAGACTAAGGAACAAAATCATGAATTTATTTACCCACATCCGCTTGGTCCTACAATTATTGTCTTTTTCTCTTTTGTCATAAAAACTAATACTAACAATACCCAAATACTATATTTTTTAATCTATTTCACTTACTTAATACAGTAGTGCATAGCATTGCGAAAAATTGACTAGATTTCTTGATAATTTAGACGCATATCCTTTTAGTCTGACAAAATTTACTATTGATTATATTTATTATCACATCTTTACTCAATAAAATCTAAAATAAGGACGACGAAAAATGATCTCAATATTATATATATATTTTATCTTAATCAAAGTTGTTCATTATTTATATTACAGAGAGCGTGTTTATAATTTTTGATAATTTTTATTGCGCAGTTGAGTAAATTTGTTTGCCATATCAAAAACATACATATACTGTATTTACAAAGTTTTATGTAGTTTTAAAGACATAATCAGGTGATTTCTTGTTAATGTCCGTAGTAAGGTCTGATCAAATATGATCACATGATATATAAATATGACATCTCACTTGATTTTGGTCACCTGATTTATGTCTCTACCGTTATCATACAATCAATAAAAAAACAAAATCCCGGTCACCTATAGCGCCTACTGTATACCATATCGGTTTCTACTCTCATCTTGCTATAACGAACTCGACTGTGTTTTGATTTATTTGATAAGTTATTCCCAATTCTTTACTAATTAATTATTAGTATTGTGAATAAACCATTTAATTTAATAATTAATAGATTTATCTCAATGTCTTTTTATAATGTACAATTTTTAAGTTTCAAGAATATTGCTTCTTTCTCATTTTTAGCAATAGAATAGAATAAAAAAAGTCGAGTGTATGACACCTGTAATCAAAATAAATTGTATGTTTTAAGTTCTATAACTTTTTAATTAGAAAGTAAATCCATAACTATGATAGATGGGATCTTTCTTACAGTATCGGAATACCCTGAGTACGTTAAATTCTACCGTGCTAATTTCTTTATTAGTATCCTGAAATGCATTGTACGATAGTGGATATATTAAGTTGGGAAGGTTGTGTTTTATTGGATAACGATAATTAAGTGAGAATATCATTGGCGTTAGACTATTAGATAAAGCTTTATCGTTATATTTATATAGATCCGGGTATGTTACATTTTACGTAAATTGAAACTATAAATTAGATTCAGTGTCGGTATATGGGGGAGGGAGTCAATAGAAAATGAACCAATTACTCTAATATATTTGCCACTTCTACAGAGTGCGGTATTACAAGCGGGTGTTCTGTATGGCAAATCACAGTAGATTTTGAATTTGCTTTCTAATCAAAGAGTTACGTATAGAACTTAACATATAATTTAGTGTATTCATAGATATCATGCACTATAAAGAGGAATTCAATAGAAATTTGAACCTTAGACCAATCTGAATTTTTACAGCCGATAGAATTGCAGTGTGTGATATGTTGTTATACGTACCGGTACAGTGTAATAACGGCGAGATTCTTAATAAATTTTACTACAATACTAACATTTGTTATAGAAGCAAAATATATAAAGAATAGTGCTATATTTCTAGCAAGTTGATAACAATTAAAAAATGTGATGAATTTGCGCTAATCTAATAGGAACGCATCACGGCAAGTCACTTTCCCGATTTCAGGTTCGTAAAATTTCTTGGTCTTATTATATTCGCCTCAATAAGGCGAACATTTTGGAATAATATTTAGAATGTTCGAACTTGCATTAACACGGAAAGAGAGCACACCAAGTACTGATATTTTAGGGGCATAATGCCCTACTCGAGAGACACCTACGAAACAAATCTTTTTTAATTTATTATACAATTAAATGAAATATAATAAAAAAACCGGCCGCCATTACTTTCGCCGGGGACTATACGTAGTGTAAATTGCTGACGCTAATCATTCCTGTCTGGTAAATTGCTTAGCTAACCCGCCTGTTATATTAAATAATTTAAAAATTGTATCGATATACAATTCTTGGCTAAAACTGTGACGATCGAAAAATTTCTCCTTGTTACTTCAAACCTGAAACCTTCGTTCTCGGTGGGTTTGCTATTAAGAGTTTAATATGGTTTCGGCATTGATTGACATATTAATATAGTTTCAACATTGCGTTTCAGCAAGCATCCTTATCGTTATTCATATCAATGGTAACTTCCGGTTAATTACGTAGTTTAACAAAAATGTTGTCCCACAAATGGCGTTAGCTCACTATCGCTATTTATCAAGTTGAATTTTTCGACCATACATCAATTCTTATTAGAAGAACCCTACATGTTATGTGTCAAGTTTTTTCTTTCCATCGTAATACGTAATTGCAAACCCTATTCATTCATTATTACCGATTTATACGTACAACTATTACCGAATATTGTTATATCCTTTTATTTTCTCGCATATATATATATATATATATTTGAAATACCCAGTTTGCTTCTCTATTTCGATGGATCATCTATGACAAATTATGGGTTACAAGTGACGAAGAATGTTTGGACGTACAGCACGAATTTCAAGATTATTAAATTATCGAAAAAAAATACATGTTTGATAATTTTAATTTATCTTCATAAACTGTGTTTTACGCCATAACGATAAATGACAATAAAAATTGCCTTTTTGGAGTTGACTTTGAAACCTCTAAAAAGGAATTTTATTTTGTTGCACGAATGAAGATCTATGGTGGCACCTATAATAAAGTTATCGAGCCATAAATTTTGTATTTACTGTACCTCCTAATGAACTTTAAAAACATATTGATACAATTTATTAATTACGTATATATGTCGCTTATCAAGTTCATTTCAATGCGTATTGACAATACATGTATAACAGAAGTCGCTCGAGTTACCCAAGAGTAGGATTTGCTCGCATAGCGAATACAAGAACTCGAAACAACAAAAATTTTTTACTTTAGGAAAATAACGACATGATTTTTCCGAATCGTGTTAAGGAAAAACAATGCTCGCAATTTTGTGATTTTTTCTTTTGTATTATTATAAAGAAAATCAAATGAGTGAGGAATTTATGATAACAAACAAGAAATCTACATTATTTTTCAAATTCTCTCACTCCATTCAAACAACGCCTCACAAGCATCCTCACCAGAAACATAAACTTCTTTCAAATGCTCAAATTGAGCATCAACAAGTTTCTCAACTTGTTTTGAATCCGTCATAGAACAGCCCTTAAATGAAAGCTTTACAAGTCTCGTACAATGCGCCAAAGCATCAAAAATATAACTTTTGTAAAATCTACACCCGCGAAATCGAACATTTTTTAAGGTTTTTGCATTATGAGAGATTATCACGCTTATTCGGTCAATTCCCGAGAAATAGCCTGGACCTGTGTGCATGCTGAATGTGGTTATATTGTTATGGAGTTTTAGGAATTCGGTGATTTTTCTGAGATCACGTGATTGGTTTCGTTCTGATGTGTATGCCATGTTGTCGATTCTTTCGATGCTTAAATAGATTTCTTGCTAAATAACGAGTAAAGAAAGGATTATCAGCGCGTTACTTTGTTAATCTTTGAAACTAAGGTTAGTTTGATAACCTACCAAATTTTCAAATTTACACTGCGTTAACCAGGCAAATGTCTCAAATACCGCATAAGCAACATCAATTTTCAAAATTGTAAGTCGTGCCAGCAAATCATAATTTATTCGTTTCGTCAATATTAGAAGAACCGAAAAACATACATTGTCATTAATAGATAGTAAATTAAGTGATCTCGAATGTTTTTCTAGTAAGGAAAAAATCATTTCCATAATTGTGACCGTATCACGCAATGTTTGCATAACATTGTTCGAGACCTCTAAAGTATTGGTGGCGGAATCGATCATTGAATCCTCTTCGTCGATTGACATCGTCGGGTTTTCCGTCTCGGATATTGATTGCTCGGAACGAATATGCGTATGTGTAGTCGACGTAAGAAGTTGTTGATTCGTCACAATCCATTGTTGAATACTAGTCAACATTTCTTTTAAATATAAATGTTTAAGAAAAGAAGGATAATTAAAAGTAAAAGACCGTGACGAGTAGTCGGATGAATCATTAAATTTCAAAGAACCAAAAATTCTGCTTTTCGCATCATCATCATCATCACTCTCGCAATCATCATAGCGGCACATGAACAGTAGCAACTCTATATACTTATGCCCATTTTTCACGCCTTTGTTGCTCTCCCATATACGAGAAATCGTTACTTCACACCAGTTTCGATTAACTAACGAACAAGCGAATAAGTCTTGTTTCTTTAATACGTGCGAAAGAATTTCGAGAAGAACTTCGGATGGCAAGTAATTTGCTGGGCTTTTAGTATCGTCGTCATTATTGTGATTATTACGATTAACAGAATGATAATAGTTATTATTATTATTGAAAATATTCATTATAATATTTTTGTTCTTTATGAAAAAATGGTTCGTTCCAGCATAAAAGGAAAAAGTAAAAACTCTAATACAACTTCAATACTAAGAACATATCATAACAATTTCATTCACATTTTCTTCCATTATATTATTGTTCTAAATGTTGTAACACATGTCGCTATCGATTTCGATACTCATACGTATACGTAGTATCGGTATGAAATAGGAAAGAAGAAACGGTGCAAATCTCCTTATGTCATGTTCAATTAGAATTGTTTCCATCCAAACACAAAATTCTATAATTCTTTTATGCATAATGTCATTGTTTATCGTACTATGCGATTGTTTGCATCTGTATCGGTGATTGTTTTCTCGACCTCGTTATTTATCCTTTAGATAATATTGATTGTGTTAATTATTAATTTTTTTTAGTATTAATTATGTAAGACACATCATAATATTCATTGTTACTTTTAGAAGCGAGGATATGTGAGCACAAACTCTATTACATGTACTTGTATTTTTAGAACTTTCAAGTTCACTCATATTTAAGTGAACATTCATTGTTATTTGAACGATTTTTGGAATCATAGTAAAACTGCGCATTTAAAACCCCGTCTTTCATTTTCATTACTATATTTGGAAGTTGATCATCAAATTTAGCCAATGAAAACGAAGATGTGTTTCATAATAATGTGATTCCGATGCGTTACGTATTTCAATGGTGATAGCGATAAAGATTATCAGAACTTGCATGAGTTTAAATTTCATATGCTCGATTGTATTCGCTATTTTGATATTTTGTATGGAAATGCACGCTACTTTTGTCTCATTGATGTTGTCGACAATATACGTACATAACTTAACCTATAACGATACATGTACATACATGTACGTATCAGGAAAAGTCAAGTGTAGCTTACCAAATATCGAGATACTTAAATTACATGCTCGCTTTAGCTTAATAGAAATCAATCATCTTACAAATGCTTTATTTGTCCTTGAAAGTGATTGACAAAAAATTAAACGTCAATATATGTCATAAATCAATATAGCAATAACGATAAGGTGTTCTTTATAAGTTTTTTTTTTGACAAAATACCATCTCTATTAAAAACCATAAAAACTTTGATATAGATATAATTTGTCGAGCAAGGACTAAGAAATATTCTTGTGGAAGCATACAACTTTTACACTGGCCGGCTGCACAATTAAAAAATTACGCAATATTTGTGTATTGTGTTATCGTTATCCTTTTTATCTTCGTGACACCTCTTATTTGTATTGAGTCAATTAATTATACTGTAGAATTAATTATGGATTGTACATGAAAATTATTCATAAATCAAAGAAAAAAAAATACGTACTTGATATCTGTCATGTGTATTTACTGGTAGCTAAGGTCAATTTCAACTTGAAAATTTCCTTTGTGATCATCACAAAATTTATATATTCATTAGTTGCCTTGGACACACTCTTTTTTCAAAGAAAAAAGTATTTTCTTCTTTCAACAATTAACCAACAAAAAAGTGTCTGCTGACACAACGAATTATCTCGATTATGCTAGACGATGGTGTTCTAGACGATGGCATTCCAGACGCGTTGGCTTTTTATTGCATGCTTTGTGAATCGTTGTTGATGTAATAATATAATCGTTATGAAGAACACCATGGTGAAAGGGAGCAAGCATATGTTGTGATCAAATGTACAGTATTACAATCGAGTCTTAATCAATTCTATTGAGTATCATTCTTTGAGCTTTATTCTAATATTTTAATACCAAATGCTGAATCATCGCTAAGATCTCATATATCTCAACAATCCCGCTTGTAGAAAGGAATAAAATTCTCTTAATCTCCGAATTATTTTCTGGCACGACAGTAAAGCTTTTGAAGATTCAGAATTATGCTAAATGTTATGCTTTGTACATTCGGCGAGTTGTTTTTAAATGCGCATTGGAAGGGTTGCGGAAAGCGACGATCATTCAAGTGCAAAGATTGTTAGTAAAATACAAAGTAAGAGAATTAGAGGAAATCGGCATTATACTCTGAGGGTTTCCTAGTGATGAAGAAACATAAACATGGAAGCTTTTTTGGATTGAACGTATCTTTCATCGAATTGGAAATATATAATAAGTTAGCTTTACACTTTTATTTCTCTCAAGTGTATTAAGACCACTCCTGAGTATGCGAACAAAGAATATAATTATTAAATTTTTATTCGCAACTGGGTTAGAGAAATTGATTTCATTTATTTTAATATTAAATCAATATGCAGTTTTGATAAATACAAAGAATTCTAATTTTCTTTCGATAAATTTTTTCGCACAACCTAAAATCATAATACATGTACAAACCAATTAACACATGTACTTGTTATTGACAAACAGACTCGATAAATTCTATTAAAATTTCAATATTATTATTGATGAGAACCTGAATACTCAACGTACTTTTCAGTCCCTCAGCAAGCTTAGCGGCGAGTCGCAATATTGTGCGGTTGCACTTCTTGATGCTTGGACGAAACGAGAACTGAATAAGATGACTGTCTTTAAGAAACTGAATGTCGTACCCAAAGTTTTTGAAATGTTTCACGTTAAACTGTACTAAATAAAAGTAATTATCTGTTTAAACTTTTAATATTTACGGTGAATTGCAAATCAAGTTGTTTGGATTTATTAGTAACCGACGAGTTGATTCTCAAAAATCTAATTAGATATATTCAATTTATCCTCTTGAATACTATTCTAAATCTTTGACACAGTTTTGTCTTAAGCAGTCAACTTGCATTCGAGCATAACTCTTAGCCGCTATTTTACGACAACTAATTTTACTAAGATACTAAGATACATAAATCAGAGCTGTCCTTCCTTATTAGGGCAGTGGTGGTTGTGCTGATGGTACTCGTGATATAGAAGAGAATGTTTTTCCTATTGCTAACATAGTCCACAAGTAAACAAACATAAAATTTGGGAAATGTATAATATTGAGCGCAAATAATAATTGTCTGGATGGAATTCTTTTTGTTGCAAAGTTCAATTAATGATATTTGACGATGTCGAAACCTTCGTCACGTCAATTTGACGAAACCTTTCGATATCGATATCGATATCGATATTTAAATATCAATAACGATAATACATGTACATATTAATATGTATTGATTTTCACGAAACCTTTCGCCATGGCCACTTTGGAAATGTAAGCGGCGAATGACGAATTGTTTGACGAATGACAATTTTGGCAAACTAAACCAAGCTTTATCAATTTATCGGTTTATTTTTTGCATAATTTTTACCAGAGGTATATAGATTTAAAATTATTATACACTTTTCATAATGCTGGCCAATATTCAGCATAATTTGATCGTCCATGGCCTTCAGCCAATCAAACACATGTACTAGATGTCCTAATGACGTAACATTCTTTTAAAATTTGGAATAGGATTTTTTCGTGTGATTTAAGCTATTACATGTATTTTGATTGGTCAGAAGGTTTGGTCACAGATTTCGTCCGACGAATGCGTGACGAAGCCTTTCGTCATTATGAAAATAGCTTCGTCAAGTATCATTAATTTGAATACTTGTTCATGACTTAAAGCTCATGATTTCATTTATGATTGCTGTAATAATAACAAGAGTTAAAAGACATAATGCCAATTATAATTTCATAACTAAGAAATTTTTAAAAGTATTAATTTAGGATTGGAACCGTGTTTAAAATTTCACCCGGATTTCACAAATCCGGGTGAAATATAACGTCGGCGAATGAATAAATTATACCGATGTGGTTGATAAGCAATTTAATAGCAAATAAAACATTTAATAAAGAACAACAAATTTAAAATTAAATCCCGACATACATGTATATAAACCGGATTCTCCCGCCCGATTTATCAGACCAGGTGAACTGAATCCGATTGTAATCACTAGTATATATGATGTTTATTTATCAACAGCGATGGTTTACAGTCCCGGCGGAAAGTAATGGCGGTGAGATTGTTATGTAAATTTTACTATAATACTAGCATTTTTTATAGAAGCAAAATATATAAATAAAGTGCAAGATAATAACAATTAAAAAATAAAAAATGTGATGAATTAGCGAAAATCTAATAGAAGCGCATCATGGCAAGTCATTTTCCCGATTGCAGGTTTGTAAAGGTTTCAAAAATTATTTTCTCAATAACCAGTTATCAGAATTTTATAAATTTGGTCTTATTAAATTTGTCTCGATAGATGAACATTTTGGTAGTAATCTCATTTTAATATTTATCGAATCATTGCGGTTTTTAGTTTTATTTTAGTTAAAAACGTTCTAGTTACAAATTTTTAGACCATTAACTTTGATATTTTAGGGGCATAATGCCCTACTCAAAGGCACTATCAAAATAATTTTTTTAATTTTATTATATAATTGAATGAAATATAATAAAAAAACTAGCTGTTATTACTTTCGCCAGAACTATACAACTAATGTATTACCATTTTGCATTGAATAACTTTTTAGTTTAATAAACTATATATATCACTTTACAGTCAAAGCTCTATATACGATCCCCTTATATAGCGAGATTTGGTTATTGCAACTTTGAATTTATTGGATGAA